AACGTTTCGACAAGGTTTTGTCATCATCAGGTACATTTGCTGTTAGGGTAATGAAGAAAAACTTTAATAATTCAAGCCGTCTCCAGCCATTATTAGTCTCAAAGTGGGTTCCTCGTCATCGAATTTGAGTTCATTCACTTTCTTCAACTGAAATATTAAACGTTCAGTAATCTTGTAAGTTTCAAAGACTGAAAGGTAATAAGCTGAAACTTCACATGTATCCGAATATTCATGGGTACTGAGGATATATTTTAAATTGTTCATATTCTTTACTCCTCCATAAGTTTGTTTGTTGTTAAGCGTAAAGATGCACAATGGGCTGTCTGTGTTCTGCCCACCATGGGTATCGAAACCAGGTTTCTAGCGTTATAAATTTTCACAATTACTTCTAAGCCACTTGGGATGATGCATTCATAAACTTAACCTGACTTGTGTCCGCCTCACACTTTTGGGGGTTAATATTAGTTACTCATAAAATAAAACTTGATTGTAATAAAGGCTCCTCACCTGTGTGATCTAGCGACCTTTGAATTATTAATAATTATTAACGTTTTCTGTTAATAAAATATTTATATAAGTAATTATATTGTATTTCTAAAAGATAGAGTTAAGAAACCAGCATATCGGTTAAAATATTGTGCTCACAAAAGAAGAAGAAACAAAGAAATTGCAACGTTTAATGAAACTGCAAAACCAGAGAAAATATCAAATTTTAGAGTAAATGCTGAACTGAATTTAAGATTTTTTTAATGTTAAATTTCGGTCACATATGATTATATTTTTATGAACAAAGACGAAAATATGTGACCTTCCGTATCTTATGGAAGATTAAAGATCACATCTCCAGGTTCGGAGGTGACCTAGAAGTTAACGTGTCAGGCTGCGATTCGAGGGTCAAGGGTTCGAGATGTAACGCCACTGAACACGCTCCGAACTTTCAATGCAGGCACCCCCCAGTGTTTCTAGCGCTATGTCTGTAGACTTACAACGCTTGGAACCGGGTTTCGATACCCGTGGTGGGCAGAACACAGATAGACGTGATATTAAAGTAATAGACAATTCCTTTATTTGACTCAAAGAGCCGACAAAGGTCTTGTGACGGCGGATGTTGCTAGTTAGATGCATTCCCTTTGATGAATAGTTCGAATTTAAAGACAGTTATATTTAAACTCTAGGATTGTCTGGCCTGGCTACTTAGTCAACGTGGGCATAAGGTATCGTTCAGGATTAAATAAAATTCCAAGTTCAAATTTAAAAAAAGAATAGGATTAAGTGCTCATTTGTTTGAACAATCATCAGAAATATTGACGTTTAAAATGTATTGTGAAATCAGTTATTTCAAGATTTGCTTTAAATAATCAACTTAATTATAATTATAGTTCCCCGTTTTGTATACAGTTTGTGATAAGAGTAGAACATTCAAAATTATAAGTGCTCTACCTTAGCTGTAAAAGCATTAACGTTAAATGACGTCATACAGCATCCTTAGCCTAAAACAAACATTTTTTACAACCAAACTAACAAACAATATTTGTTGGAAATCAAAAAACCTCGTGCAATTGGTTTTCATGAGACACCACAATACATCTTGGACATGGAATAAACAAACTCAGTATATTTACATACTGACACGTTGACACTTCAAGCGCAAATGTCTGTCAACGAAAGACGCGCAAACAGAAACATACAGTGTTAATATATATTATTTGAATCAGTTCTTTTTTCATTACTTTAATTGGATTTTCAGCATCAGCCTAAATATTAGTAGCAAATGTATAACCCATTTCATCCACAGCTGTCAACATGTTTAAATAATACAGGCCTGCAATGGTTTTATTGTCTTGAAATTTTTACATGTTCCACAGCAATACATGTACGCTGAATCTGAAAATGATAACCATTTTTCTCCATCACGTACACATTTTTCACAAAACGTCATATGTACATTTACATAAGTAAATCATTTTCATTGAAATCGGGACAGATTTTGTTATACTGAAAATGTTGACAACCACTGGCTATAGATTTCTCTAGACCAATCGCGACGTGAGAATTTTATCGATCGTTCTGGAACCCACGAGAAACACACCGTTAGTACATGAACGGTTAACAGGCCTCATGACGTGTCATTTCTGGATATTATTTGTTTGTGGGTGCACTTTGACATTATTTTTTTCTTTTCAATATTAGTTATTCGTCGCTATGGCAACAAAAGGTTGTGTAAATGGCCCGAACATATTCTGTTATATTTGTGGTAAATTTGATCTAAGTAAGAGTTTTTTTTCTTCCCGAATTGTAAAAAATCCTTACGTAATAGAAAAAAAAGAATATTATTTTCGAAATCTGCATAGCTGAATTATGAAAAATCCGTTATTAAAACCAAAACAACTATACTGTATGTTCGTTTTGTTTTTTGTTGTGTTTTTTAAAACCTTAATACTGTAAGTAGCCAGTCCTGATTCTTTTTAATATGAATAAGAAATAAAAAAGTTACAACAAGAAAACCCTGAAAATACAGCATGTAAATCTTGAAAATACAGCAAATGAGGTGCAATACTTGTGTTAATGGCATCCGGCACTTGCGGAGATGTCTGTCAAATTTCATTTAAAGATGTAAGTCCGACACACTAACATTTCTACTCTTTTGTCATAGGAACTAGTCTCTTTTTGTAACAACCAGCGGTGGAAGAGCACGGGTTTATGATAGTGTTTTCTTTTCTACCTTGTACGAGATTTTATCACTATGGAACTGGCAAGAAGGAAGCATTGCATTATGGTAATTTAGTGCAGGTTCCGTATGAAACCTGTTGAACTGGGATGTTCATAAGTGCTTGAGACACATCACTGACTGAAATTCTGACTTATCAGAAACTGAGTGGACCAAACAAATTCCATTTTTAACTCGTTTCGATTAGTAAACCTTTAGTTAAATTCCTTTCTTCAAATCTAACTTGATCAGAAGTTTTGGGGCTATGAAGACCAAAAGATTTTATGTGACTTTGAGTGTAAAGCAAACTCTTGATTTAAGCATCTGAGAATAACCGGTAGAGAAGGACCTCTTGATTGGGAAGACTATCGATTACTATCTCCATCCACCAAACAAGCAATCACAATGTTGTCAGCACCCATGTTTTCTCCAGAGAAGCATCTGAGATAGCAAAAATAATCCCCACGTCTACCAACTACCTAGCCCATGCTACCAACTTCACTGATGGTGGCCCCTGCCCTTATAAAGCAGAAGGAAATGAAACCATAGTGAAAAGTCTTTCTAAAGAATCATCCGTTTCCAGGAGTCAAGACAATGATATCAATGTACATCTCCATTGGAAATGTAAGATCCAACACCTAAGGATACCATCCTAAGGTTGAAATGTAATCAGCTTCTGAAGAATTCCCGGGAAGAGTTACAACAACAGTAATATGTCGATGCAGCCACTTGACTTCTCAATTCCCAGCCACTTGATATCTTCCCAGCAGTCTCAGCTTGTTTTTCATGTCACCCAGAACTTCCAACAATGGCCTCAACTTCAGTTCCTCCAATAGACCATCCGACTAAAACATCACTGCCTGACCCAGGCTACAGAGTGAACCACAGCCTAGGTCATGTGCCAGGAACAATACAAAGTTATGAGGAGAAGTCATGGTGAGGATAACCAATCCATGTAGGATTTGGAAAAAGCAAAGAGATTACCAAGCAGACTACTTCGAGTCATAAGAAGTCTGTGGCTGTTCTAAAGATTCTGTTGTTGGGGATGAGGAAACATCCAACTCTGAATGAGTTATCAAAATATTTTCCCTTAATATCATAACTTGCAAATGTAAAAATGTTTCACCTATCTTTCATATAATATTTTCGAAGAGGCCTTACAAGCACATAAGAAAACAAAGGTGTTATAAAGTTTTATAAATCATATAAATGCACAGTGGAAAACTTTGTGCAGAAATCGTCTAAAGTAACAGTTTTTATTAGTTTCCTAGTAGAATTATAAGAATAAATTTATTGTAGAAATGTTTTTATTTCGGCGATATTTTGCAAAATGTGTGAAAGTTATATGGTTTTTGTCAATTTTTTTCATTCATGTTGATTTATGATTCTATTAAGAATACATAAAAATTTAGGCGTTTTTATCATTTTTTTCATACGAGATTACTTATACTTTTCTGTTAGAAAGGTGTTATGATTTACACGCTTCATAAAATGCATAATAATTCGGTGTAAATTTATTAAACATACGTTGCGGCTTATATCGTTTGATAAAGCATACACGATTGTTCATTGGCTTCTGTTAAGAATATGTTACGAATTACTTGTTTTTATTAGAAATATGTTATTAGTTTTTAGGTTTTATTAAAATACATTATTACGTTTCAACTTTGATAAGTGATGAAGTAGCATATAATACTGTTGTATATATATATATATATAACATAATAAACAATCGGTGGCCCTGTTTCAGATTTTTATAACCTCCAATAGACCATCCGACTAAAATAGTGGCACAGCGGTATGTCGGCGGACTTATACCACTAGACATTGGGTTTCGATACCCGTGGTGGGTACAGCACAGATAGCCCATTGTGTAGCTTTGTGCTTAACTACAAACATACAAATTAATGTTTGCCCCCAGTATAAAAGCGGTATGTTTGCGGACTTAAACGCTAGAAACAGATAGCCCATTGTGTAGCTTTGTGCTACTTCCAACAAACAAACAAACTCTTTGGATTTTTTTGTTTTGTTTTTTCATATACCACCTGTTCTATCATTTTTTGTCACATGATGTGGACATCTACAACAATGAGATAATGCTCTGAATCTTTTCACGTGTGGTTGGTGTAAGTTTAGTTAGAAGTTAGTCCTCCAATGAAACGTTTTCAAACGATCAATAGCTCTTTCCGTAACGAATAAGCTATTGTTACGTAACGAGTTGCGTTGCAAATTAACCTCTTCCCTCCTTAGGTGGAGAAGCTCCGCCTTAACGGTTTCAGTGTGAAAAGTACGATATGAAGTGTGGAAAATGTTGGAAACATTGTGGGTGTTGAACTGGAAAGTGTTTATGAGGTGTAAAAATTGAATAAGTTCGCCATCTGTTGCTCTATTTAATGGTTTCAAAGCATTTCGCGTGCCTCAGTGTATTGGTATACAACAGAAGCTACGAACATGGACTACTCGACATTAGGAGCCACACCTAGCTTATTTCCCGTGAGGTCCGTCAATCTTTATCCGATGGTAAATCTTCCGTCATTGCGTTTCACTGTAAGGCAGATGGTAGCTGTGTGCGAGGCTCTCGAGGAGAGTGGCGATATTAGCCGCCTGGCTCGGTTTTTGTGGTCTTTGCCCGTAGCCTATCCACACTGTGCTGAAGCTGACACGAACGAGGCTGTGCTTCGAGCCAGAGCAGTCGTGGCTTTCCACGACAGGAACTTCCGAGAACTGTATCGTATCCTTCATAGTCAGCGATTCTCCAGAAAATCTCATGTAAAGCTACAGGCTTTGTGGGTCCAAGCCCACTATATGGAAGCCGAGAAAAAGCGGGGAAAGCCCCTTGGTCCCGTTGATAAATACCGTGTGCGAAAAAAATTCCCATTTCCATCTACTATTTGGGATGGGGAACAAAAGACACATTGTTTCAAAGAACGCACGCGGGACTTGTTAAGGGCATGTTATCTTCAAGACTCTTATCCAACCCCGAGTAAAAAATACGAACTGGCTGAAGCCACAGGTCTCACCCCAACTCAGATAGGAAACTGGTTCAAGAATCGCCGCCAGAGAGATCGAGCGGCTGCATTAAAAAACAGGTAAGATAATAACTGATAGCAGTATTAGTGTTTTAAATGTTCTAATTATGTGAACGCATTTCTCCTCATTACCTTAATCATCGAAGTGTTCAGTGTTTACTCCTGAGAACAAGTTCTCTACGTTTTTTAAATCATGATTTACTTAGTGTTATTGAAAATAACTAGTTTTGTAAACAGTTCACAACACATAATTTTAATCACCAAGATGTTCAGGGATTAGCTGTAAAGAACTTGATGATGAACTAGGTTCATAAACTAGTTACTCGTGTAATTATTTACACTTCTGAAATTTCTCTGTAAAACAGACTCGTGTTTTTGTCAGTATATAATCACTTGTATGATCGAAGTAGCTGATAATTTCAGTTCTGTCAAAGGCTTGTTTCACAGTAAACTACGAACCGCAGTTCAGGTGGTTTTCAATCGATAAAATATTTCCTTTGAGGTTACTATGACAACAATTATCCGGATTAGGATTGAAAACGATTAGTTATAAAGTTTGAATAAAAAACAACACTAGCCGTTTCCTAATCTTTAACTAAATACAAAATGGATAAAAACTATGAACTGCAGCCGAAACTATGATTTATTTTGTACGTTTTTACATGACATTTAAATGTGTCGATGGATAGAAAACTTTAGTAAGAAAATTATAAAACATTCATGTTACGATAGTGCATAAAATAATTATAAACACAATAAAACCGTCAAAAGCAGTTTGATATTCTGACAAGTCGAATTTTTAAGGAATACTTATCAATTAATATAAGAAAAAAGACAATAGGTACAATAAACAGTCTAATATTAACCCTCTTGTTACAGGTTGGTCCAGCAATCACAGCATCTTTCCAAAGCTACTACCAACTATGCGTCAAACCAGGAAACAAAATATATTTATCCACATAGTCTAGCATCTCATCTGCTGGCTAAACACTCAATAACACCACGTAGCTCGGAGAAAAACGAAAATAGAAAGGACTGTCGCTTTGCATGTTATGAGGTCTTATCGCGTGTATTTTCAGGTGACCGTGATAAAAAGCTAAACACAGATAACCAGGGTGTGTCCTCTGACGAAACAAGAAGAAAGAGTGCTACAAAGAAACATCGAAAAAAAAGAATGTAAATACTTTTTAAGTATTTGAGCAAACATTAAAAAACATTTGGGTATCATCTGTGTTACTGGCAACTTTAGCAAAGATCTGAGCGTCATACATATTTAAGTATCAGTTATAATAAAGCTTTGCAAAATTAATTATATATATATGTATAATAGATGATAAAACTCTGCTTGGAAAATATAATTTAAATGACTTTTGGGAAAAAAAAATTGGCGACTTAAGTAGGTGATTTAGATCGCAATCCGCTAGAGTAAACAATAAGAGTAGTCCGCTAGAGTAAACAATGAGAGTAGTCCGCTAGAGTAAACAATGAGAGCAGTCCGAGAGTGAGCAAACAATGAGAATAGCTCGCGAGGGCAGCTCGCAAGGATAAACAATGAGAGCTGTCGGCGAAAGAGCAAACAATGAAAGTAGTTCGATAGAGTAAACAATGAGAGTAGTCCGCAAGGATAAACAATGAGAGCTGTCGGCGAAAGAGCAAACAATGAAAGTAGTTCGATAGAGTAAGCAATGAGAGTAGTCCGCAAGGATAAACAATGAGAGCAGTTCGCTGGGGTAAACAATGAGAGTAGTCTGCTAGAATAAACAATGAGAGCAGTTCGCAGGATAAACAATGAAAGTAGTTCGCAAGGATAAACAATGAGATTAGTCCGATAGAGTAAACAATGAGAGTAATCCGTTAAAATAAACAATGAGAGCAGTCCACAGGATAAACAATGAGATTAGTCCGATAGAGTAAACAATGAGAGTAATCCGCTAAAATAAACAATGAGAGCAGTCCACAGGATAAACAATGAGAGTAGTCCGATAGAGTAAACAATGAGAGTAATCCGTTAAATTAAACAATGAAAGCAGTCCACAGGATAAACAATGAGATTAGTCCGATAGAGTAAACAATGAGAGTAATCCGCTAAAATAAACAATGAGAGCAGTCCATAGGATAAACAATGAGAGTAGTCCATAAGGTAAATATGAGAGTAGTCCTCGTGGTAAAAGGTGAGAGCAGTCGAAGAGAGTAAACAGTGAGAAGTGTCCGAGGGGAAAACAGTCCCTTTAAAAATAAATAACATTCCAGAATTTTAATTCTTTGTTTCTTCCTTTATAAATCTTCTTTAGAATTTTTATTCATTTGTTCTCGAAAACCATTTTAAAATTGGAATCCGAATTAAATAATAAAGTTCAGAAAGGCATATATCCCATTCAAATTCTGGTATAATATTTCATAAAATCTAGCTTGCACATACTTACATGTTGAAATATATATTACGTATTACAAATTTTACACATAGAAACTATAGATTTATTAACATACTGAGTACGTGTATATATATATATATATGTTTTTATATAGAGAGAAAGAAACGCATTTTTTAAATAGATAAATTCTGAAATCATTTGAAAATATAATGTACGACACACCAGAAAATAGCAGATTCATCGATGTAAATACAAAGACGTTTGATTTCTATCATAATGCGTTTGTGCACATTACAAGATGTAGTGTAAATGTCATTAGACAGTTTTAGAGTAAATATTTGTGTGCGAAATGTTATACAAATGCTACGCAGTAAAATATATACATATTACTGAAAGACTATATAAGCTAGGCATATTGATAATAAAAAATTAACGAAATTAACATTTGATGAGAAATGAAAAGCTGAAATTTACTGGCTCAAAGCCAGTTCCAGCGTTGCAGTTACGAGATTCTGACAAATCTTTAACGTTTTTTAACACTTTCCATCAAACAATAAATTTTACAAAATGCGAGGTTTACTTCGTTATAGCATCATGTTCAGGATTCAAGAAAATATCGTAATTTCAACACTGAAGTCAACTATAATTAAACACCTACTTTTTTCAAAAACTTAAATATCATGCAATAAAACATTCCTTTAAACTGATAAATATTATATAATAAAACACGTACTAGTATTAAAACTCAAGAAGTGTATAATAAGACGTGTCCTTATTATCGAAACTTCAAGAAATATCACGCAATAAAATAAGTGCTAAAAATTACTTTCAACAAAACGTGTTTTGGTGAAACATAACTTGAAACAAAATATTTAGTGCTATATTTTGTTTACAATAGAATTGATTAGTAATAGATCTATACGAGTGGGTGTTATATATTTACAAAATACTTTAGGTTGTAATAATTCATGTTTTGTTTAGTGGTTTATGTAAATTATTTCTTATACTTCATAAGAAAGTCACAGTGTGACTTCATATTTTCCTCGAGATCGTTTACCTCTGAGTGATTCCTCAAGTATACTTAAGAAATGAGCAGAATTTCAATTTAATAAACGATATATTTCTTACAAAATGAAAACGTTCTGTCCTAACAGAACTGTATTTGGCCTTTTTTTTAGGATTAAAGTAAGTAACTTTCGAAACTTGTGATACATTTTATTATCATCATTATACTAAGCATACATAATTCATTCACGTTCTCTGTGTGAAACGTCTCTGTTAAACTTCTGTAATGTAGCACACTGTGCACATTTAAATAACAATCACATTCACATTACATACACAATACAAAACAAATGGCTTAACTTTGGTTTCAAAAGTAGGGGGCAGTTTCTGTAGCAGGAATATTTATGAGGGATTCTATAAGAAGAAAAGGTAGTAGAACCTTGTAAAAAAGACGGGGAACATAACCCCACTGAAAATTAAACCTATGACACAAACTATTCAAATATTAAATACCGGGAACATGACCCCACTGAAAATTAAACCTATGATACAACTATTCAAATATTAAAGACGGGAACATGACCCCACTGAAAATTAAACCTATGATACAACTATTCAAATATTAAAGACGGGAACATGA